AAGGGCCGCCATATGTGACTTACATAGTAAGCGAATGATCGATCAACACCTTTGAGTTATATCACCTCAATGCTCGAGCTCACCTTACCCCCTCAAGCGGATGTCACCTCGCGAACTACCTCGAGGCAACTCTACTGGACTCTAACACCTCATAATTCCCAGCCGCCGGCAACACTAATATCAATTCAACATGGGCGAACGCCTAGCCAAAACACAAGTTAGCCAAAACACAAGTCCATTAATCCGCGAGGAAACACAAACTCAACCCGGGGAGAACGCAGTATACCTTCCTGATAATACGCTGGGCACAACACAATAATCAACACTCACCTCCTTGGCGTTCTATTACCACTAGGTCCGGACAAACCACCACCAGGTGTGCGCACACTACATTAAATTTTCCATGGAAAAATGCTTGAGAAAAGAAAATCGTATTTTACCATTTTAGTTCAAGAAAAAGTGTTGAGCTACCAAAATTTCTCGAGATCTGGGCCCTAGATCAAGGAGAAGGCAACTCAAAAAAAAACAAAATTATTACAACTGTCTTTTCTCAAGAAAATTCGCCAAGATACCGACCGGGAACCCACCAGGGCAAAAATACACAAAAACTACCAAAAAAAAGAACTTACCTTCCCTCCGTGGCGGTGGAACCACTCGCTGCTACCAGTAAGCGTAGCGGCAGTGGAGGCGTGCTCCTGGCTGGCAAGAACAGAACACCGATCAGTACTTAGTAGTTTATCGTTAAGGCATCAAAGTGGACAGAGGACAGTATATGAATATGCGAGAATAGGAGATCATCGGTGAAGTAGTTGAGCTTGGAGATTGGATAGGTACTGGATCGGAACAGCATCAGCCGGAGACGAGGAGGGGTACAGTAGGACGGCCGGTCGGTGTCGGGGCGAAGGGTCGACTCCTCGAGGCTTCGTATCGTCGGTCACGCCCTAAACATATGAATCATGTCTTCTGGCATTCCATCGGAGATGCAAACGGAGATGCAAAAGCATCTCCCTTACAACTTGGGTAATCGAAATTTTTCATCGAATGAATGAATGTCGAATAAATTGAAAATGAAAAATTTCAATTAAACGAATATTGAATAAATTCGAGATTTAAAAATCCTTCAATGAATGAATCCCCGATGAAATCGGAAATCAAAAACATCGAATGAATGAATATCGATTATATTCGAACATTAGAAGTCGAAGTTCGAATAAATATTCGAATGATTTATCGAATAACTAGTGCAACCAAATCTAAAACTTGCTGACATATTCGGCTGAAGCCGATCCATTCATAATGAGCACTTTCATATCCCCTATACCACCTTCTAGCTCAAAATTTTCCAAAAATCGGTGAATCGATAAGACAGATTTAATTAATTGGCACCCTCATTTATCCCCCTGTACCAACTCCCAGCCTCGTAGCTCAAAATTTTCCAAAAAAAAATCAAGAAAATTGATAAAATAAAATTTTGTAAATAATCAGCACCCTTCCTTGCCCCCCCCCCCCCTCCACCAAGTCCAAGCCCCGTAGCTAGCATCTTGTAACCGGCAAATCGCGTACAGTCGCGTGCGGGGCCTGTCATAATCAAAGCTCGCATTTCTCAATGTGCACCTTCTTCGAACGGCTTTAGCCTTTACCATAGTTGATAGGGCTGATAGCTCCCGGTCTTAAAGTGCCTGCAGGCCTCCGTGAAAATCTAGGATGCACTGTGATAACAGAACTATCATGTACTTTCTAAACTACAAAACTTGTTCAGTCTAATACTAAAAACTATAACCGTCTGATACTCCACTACAGCTGCGAGTCCTTCACTCAAAATACACCAATTCGCGAAAAATCTCTATGGTGAAGAATAGAGGCAGTTGTGCAGCATGAGTTTTACAAGCAAGAGTACTCACTGGTGTGGACTTTTGCGTACCAAAAGCATGAGCAATGCAAAGAAAGAGAAACATGCATATCAACACATTCCGGTACATGAACTCGGAGCATGAGCTTGGAGTTTACAGCTGTTTTTGCTGATTTGGTGCAGATAGCAGTGCGAACTATCTCAGTGATCGAGAAAGCATCAATCAAAATCCACACCTATTTTTAATGTGGCAAGCAATCGGAGGAATGCGACTTTCCATACACTTAAAGGTCATCACGATTTCAAAAAGATGCATTACCGATTTTGGGAAAAAAACGCAGACGAAGCGAGCTTGATACTCAGCAGTTGGCTCTGCAACAAACTCGAATAATGTGACATAATACTGCCCAGTGCCGCAAGAAGTAAAGAAGTTTTTTGATGACGGTTACAGGTTGGAGTTTATTTCAAGTTGTGATTGGCCCATTGAGAAGAATCCTACGACGACTTCGAAGGCTCATGAAAGAATCGCGAACCTGCGGAAAGTGTGCTTCACCGACCTTTGAAGGCAGCGTCCAGGCAGATTTGGACGTATGTGGCTCTAACGTGGTAACAATTTTCGGGGGTCTAATTAAGATACTGCCCAAGCGGCAGCGCAAACGGTGCAATCGCGGCTGAGAAATTCGTCCGCAAACCAGCCCCCGTGACCGTATTCGCATGGATTCACGGCTCAGCACATCAGTTTAGCGCGGGTCCTAGCGCGAAAGCGCCACGAATCTATGCGAATACGGTCACGGGGGCTGGTTTGCGGGCGAATTTCTCAGCTGCGACTGCACCGTTTGCGCTGCCGCTTGGGCAGTATCTTAGTTAGACCCCCGAAAATTGTTTCCACATTAGAGCCCCATACGTCCAGATCTGTCTGGACGCTGCCTTTAAAGGCAGCGTCCAGGCAGATCTGGACCTATGGGGCTTTTACGTGGAAAGTACTTTTGGGGCCCTAACTAAGGCACTATTCTAGCGGCAGCTCAGGTAGTGCTCTAATGGCTGAGATATTCCCCTCGAAACTGGACCCCGCGACCGTGTTTCACATGGATTCCTGGCAGTTTCGCGCCAGGATCCACGCTTTTCGCCATGAATCCATGCGAAACACGGTCGCGGGGTCCAGTTTCAAGGGGAATATCTCAGCCATTACAGCACTACCTGAGCTGCCGCTTGGGCAGTGCCCTAGTTAGGGCCTCAAAAGTACTTTCCACGTAAAAGCCCCGTGGGTCCAGATCTGCCTGGACGCTGCCTTTAAAAAGAATTCGTAACGTATCCAGATGTATGATGGGATGCAACGAAGGGGGGGGGGGGGGCTTTCGCCAGATACAGCTGGTTGTCCCAACGTTACAAAATTGGTTTTTTTGCAATTGAGCGCATCTTTAGCCAAATATTGACAAAACTTTCCAAACTCTATCCTGTGCCGAAGCATATTTAGCGGCTACAAGTTCCCTCAGTATGATTTCAGGCTCTAGCGCCTGCCTCGCTCGGGCCTTGCGCCCTTACTCCTTAGGCTTGAGATATACCTGACGATGGAGGTATAGCGGGTGTTGGCGAATCGCTGATGTCTGCGCTGCCCTTAGCTGCTCGTGGCTGCTGCGCTGGGTATGCTGTGGGTGCAAGAACGAAGTAGCTTTACCCATTACTATGCTTAGCTTAGGTTATTAAGGAAAGTAAGTCTTGACGATTACCAAAATTGAGAAATAATATGAGACCCAAAAAAATCGTACTGTTTTCATCAAGAAATTTTCTTTATAACAAGCATAAAATGGCGTGCCAAATGTTGCATAAACTGAGAAAATTTTAATCAATTGACAGATATCAAGGAGTGTCACAGTTGAACCTTGATGTGTGCTTGAGGCAACATCTAAACTATCTAGGTCATAGCAGACGTTAATTTGTTGAGGTCTACTAGTAATATCCCACTGAATCGTTTGAATCCTCTAGCTTTTCATCGTTACTTAATTTGACTACGCAGTTGATCAGATTATTCTTTGTCGACTTTGTCAATTCTTTATCGATTTTCTTATCGATGCATTTACGTTTCGGTGAAAATTTGTCATAGTTCATCAGTATCGAAACTGCTCTGAAAATCCTTCAGAAGTTCAGAAATATGTTAAAAAGGAGCAAATCCGAGCAAAATCAGCGTTAGCAGCTCGAAGCAGCTGAGAGAAGCTCACAAAAAGTGAGCTTCATATCGCGTAGCAGCGAGGAGCAGCAACGAGCAGCTGGGAGCAGCAGAGAGCAGCAAGAAGCAGCGCAGCATCGCTAGCTATAGCGGGTCTGTTTCGCGTTGGCTGCAGCAGCTAGGAGCAGCAGCGTCGCCTGGCGTCAATCGATACGCACAAAAGACGTTGCTGCTCGCAGCGTCTTATCGTCAGCTATAGCCACCCATCGTCAGGTATATCTCAAGCCTTACTCGCTGCGAGGAGTGGGAAAATAAGTGGAGGGTACGTGCGCGAATCAGGCTTCGAGGCGGCCGTAAAGTTTCGAACAGCTGGAGCTGTGACACTGAGACACACTGAGACAGCCTGTCAGTTCCGCTGACGGCTTCGCGTGCACACACAATAGCATTTTGCCAGGCAGAGATCGGATAATATGGTATACTGTCGTTGCGTACGGCACTAACGGTTGCAAAGCGGATGCGAGCCATTCACTTTTGGCACAAAGTTTGTTGGAAAAACTGTACAGGCTGTCACAGCGAGAGCACCACCGATTCAGCGGCTTGAGTCCTCAGTGCCATCGTGTTCGCGCCTTGCGTCGCGTTCGCGAACCGTTCTCAAGGCATTTTTCCACGATGAGCAGCGGCTGAAGGCTGAGTGAGGCGGTTCTGCACTTTTTAAAGTTTTTACAAATTTGTTGGAAGTCGACAGCAGTAGCAGCCTAATGTCCTTACTTTTACCTCAATCTGATACTAAATGATAGAGCATTGTTGCTTCTATCATTTATTCGAGATTACAATGAGGAAGTAACTCAAACTTCCTCACTTTGCCGAATGTGTGGCCAAGTAAACACGCAGTAAAAAACCCAGCTCCTGTATTAGTATAGGAGAGCTGTAAAAGAACATCCACACTAGATAGCTACCACTTGCTTTCTTTCAAGCAAGTACATATCCGTGGAAACTCTAGGATAAATCAACGATTTGAAAAACAAGTGAAACATACTAAAGAAATATATAGAATTTTATCCGTTAACAACAGGGTAACAACTAACAGATTTACAACGATTCACTGTAAACAGTTCAACGATCTCCGAAACAACAGAAAAATCAACAGAAAAGTTCGAAAATCAACTCAAAGCATTGTCACATCCATGGCTTCAGTCAATTTACTTGTACGTCGCTCTGAAGCAGTAAATTATGATAAATCATTTTGCGTCTAATATTACCTTGCTTCTTCGCTGCACGCTTGTTCTTCTTTAAGGTTTTCTTGATAACTCGATTCAACTGCACATTACCATCAATTACCAAACTGGTAGGCAGGGGAATTGCTTCGCTGCTTTCGCGGTCTCGATCAACTTTCTTGCTTTTGCCACTGCTGACAATCACAGCTGAAGCATGGATTGTGCTGTTCACCATACAATGCTCGTTACTGATCGATAACATACGGTTGGCATCCACTTCCATCCCTCCTTCTAACTCCTCTTCCTCTTCTTCGTTGGCTGAATTATATGGCACAAACGTCGCGTCCGTATCCATGGGTAGACCTATGATGTGAATACTTACAATCATTCTATACATTTTGCTGCTCCATTATTTAGTTCAAAGAGTAACTATCGCTTCAGAGAGGGAACCATGCGGAGATCAGTACGCAATGTATCACATGGCACCCGCTATTCTTATGCTTAAAGTGACAAGAGAAGAAAAACAACAACAAAGATGAAAGAAAACTGAGTCGTATGGTAATGACGAATAAGTTTCTCGACTACACAGAATGGGCTACAGCAAGCTTAACCAACATGGACGAATGGGCTACAGTAAACTCAAACAAACCTTCAACCAACTGCTTCAAATCGTCATCCAGAGCATCAATGTCAAACTCTTTGCTAAACTGATTGACAATTTCCGCAGAAACCCCCGTTTCAGGTGCGCTGGATGAGACTTCTTCCGGTGGTTGAGTATAGTACCTCAATCGTCCACTATTCCAATCATGTAAGACCTAAAATCTCGTGAGCTACACAACCAAAATAAAAAATGAATCGTCCTCACGTGTTTAGCAGCCGCGTTAGTATCAGGTCGAGCTCCCTTTTTCAGCCTACCAAGTTTGCGAGCAACTAAGGCGAGAAACTGATCTGTAGAGTTGAACTCAGGTATCGAGTAGTGAAGCATTAACTAAACGAACAATGAAAAGATTGATCATTCGACAAAAACTGTCTTTACCATTTCTTTTGAGCATCTTCGTAAGATAGCATACACGGGAGCAACAGGATCCATCAATGAGTCCACACGAATGGCATTTTTTAGCGCAACCTAAAATAAGAGCTAATTCGCGTCCACTATGATCTAGCCACGAACCTCAACAGGGTCCAAATCATTTGCGCCCAACAACACCACACCCGGCGAATCTATCAAGCGAATATGTTTGTCAATCTCGATCTCTTGTATCTCTCTGAGAAAAAATTCTCGAAAACACAATCACCTGATATAAATGCAACTTCAGAAATTCTACGTAGAACTTACTTTGTTATTCCCGGCAGCGCCCCTACATTGCAGGCTCGCCTTCGTTTCAAACTGTTTATAACACTGCTTTTACCAACATTGGGGAAACCTAAAATAAACTACTAAAAGGGCATTTTGTGCCGATGTCGGCGAGGAATTTGTTTTCGCCGTATTTTGACCTACCGACAATTCCAACACGAATGCTTGTCTTAATGTCCTTATTACGGCAATAATTTCCTAATAACTTCATTACAAGATCGGCCCCTATGCATTTGGCGGAGGAAGAGTTGTTTAGATTGGAGCTGCTGAATCGACTCTGAAAGACAAGGATAAGCAGCATTCACAAACAGCGATATGTTTTACTCCAATTACAGCCAAACCCACACACAAATCAACATACGATGTTGGTATTCTGCTCCTGTGTGCTGGCTTTGAAAGCAATTGTAGGCAACTGCGTTCGAAGATAGGTAAGCCACTTTGCGACGTTATCTCTTGGCACAAGGTCAATCTAGAGCGATGAACCGGTCAACGAAGGGTAAAGCGCATTTTCGAAACGAATTCTGGAAGGTTCACACGTACCTTGTTTAGCAATAACACAAGCCGTTTGCCACTACTAAGGACTTGCTGTTCGACAGATGCACTTCTGCTGCCAAGAGGATCGCGGGCATCTAGGACCTTCAATTGAAGATTAGAGTCAAGTCACGTGACACAACCACCATCACACTCACATAATGTTTACACTAACCGAATTACTTGAAGTGGCCTGCACTAGAATCAGACACAAACATGACAGTAAATCTCACAAGGCGAAAGTCGCGGTGCCAAAAGGCCTTTCAAAATAAGATAGGCATCATCTGAAGCATCTTGGAACGCTGATTCCGAAAAGCATTTCTTAACTGCCGAACAAGCGTGGAATTTGCGCAAAATTCAAACGTTGAGAACAGCCAAAATCACCATAGCCCATTTGGACTCGAACAGATAAAAAACAGTTTATTAATGCGTAATTAATAATTAGACTACTTCCTCAAAGTTATGCTGTAGTGTTTAACAAGCTTTCAAGCGAATTACATAATTATAGGGTACTTTAAACAACGTAAAATTCGGGGATTAAAATGGCCATAAGTCCCGACCCAGATTCGTTCTGCAGCTAAGAAAGGTTGTCCTGGAACCAGCATTTCAAGCTGCTTCATATGGTACCTATTTCATGTCAAAAGGCCACGGCGACTTCTGACACTTTCCTGGTAAGATGCTTGAATTAAAAACTGCGAGATACACTCTCGATGGTTCATTATCAGGTATGCAAACATACCTAAATACATGCACTTCTACAACCTTTTTTCAGTCTGCCCAACATTCAAGAAATGTTGGCGTGGGTCATACGCTAGCTCGGCATTTGACAGTGAAACAAGAGACAATGAATAAAGCTGACCTGAATTATGATATCTGCGGTTTCTATCATCTTTCGCACTTCGCTAGCATAGGCCTTGATAGATCGGTCACTCAATGGATTGAAATCCTTAGTGGCGAGATTCCTTGCTTCTTGTTGTTTTTCAAACTCTTCACCCTTCAAAACACATATACATATCCGATAAACATTGAAGAAAGCAAAGGAATGTGGAAGCACCTGTTTGGCTGCTTTTTCTGATAACGACTGTAAATCCGTTGGCACCGGGCTCTTCCGCTTTCCTGCGCGTGCTTGCTTTGACGCTTCCTAAACACTTTAGTATGTTTTTAAAACTCACAGGATCTCATAAAAGCATTTAAGTGCATAGAAGTAGCAGCAAGTGTGAAAACTGAATTGACTATGAAAGACATGCTGAAAATACTCGCACCTTCTTAGCCTCTATCTGGGCTTTCAGTCGCTCTCGCGCTTTCTCGGCTTCTTCAAGGATTTCTTCTTTGAATGGGCATGCTTTTGGTACAGTGATGACTTTCTCTGCTTTCTTTTTTCGGCCTTGGAAAATGACATGAGTTCAAGTAAAAAACAAAAGTACGTAAAACCTTACCCAACTTCTTTGCTTCTTTTTTGACCTTTTTGTTGTGATCCCTGACTTTCTTCTCTATTTTGTAACGCTTAGCACAGCTCTGCCTTTTGCTGATTTTTTCTGAAACGACGATGAATTGTTGGCAAAGAGACACTGCTCAAACTCACTTAAACAATACTTCGCCATTGCTTGAAAGCGGCAGGAGTTTACCTACAAGTGGACTCGAAAATCAAATAATCAACGATCAACGATATAAAGTTGAAACTAGCAATCAGATCTCAGAACTGTTTGCCATAACGAGATATAATCCCAGAAACAAAAATAAATCAGACGATATGTTTTTACCGCAGCACCTTTATCTTAGGATAGTAGCACTAATCACTCCCCGGCAAGCACAAACGAAAGTTGCGCAAGTTAAAACTGAAAATTGCACAATCTTTGCGAAACTGCCGTGATTTAAAGTGTTTCTGCATTGCGGAAAGACGTTGCGACAGACGGCATCGCAGCCACCGTTTGCCTTGAAAACATTGTGCTTTGTCCGGAGTTGTGTCTCGATTTGAGGCCAGCAGTGGCCGTATTCAACGAACCTGGGGTAAACCTTATCTTTGAGGGTAAGCTTTACCCCAGTGGCCGTATTCATCAACGTTACCCAGTGGGTTCCGCTCCCCAGCGGTAGACTTAACCCACTGAGTTCGCTTACCCAGCAGCTTCGTGAATACCGCTTTCGTGGGTTGAGGCTACCCACTGGGTAGGATAACCCACTGGGTTTCGTTGATGAATACGGCCACAGAAGGCATAAAACCAGCGGCCGCATTCATCAACGAAACCCGTGGGTTCCGGAACCCACTGGCTTAGTGCTTTTGATAAATATCGATTCTTCCCTGGAGTAGAATCGATATTCATCAAAAGCACTAACCCAGTGGGTTCCGGAACCCACGGGTTTCGTTGATGAATACGGCCACAGTGTTCACGAAGCACAGGGTAGGCTTAACGTCAAGGGTTGAATCTACCATTGAGGTTATTAGCCCGAGAAGATTACCCCTTACCAACGACTCAGGGGAAACCTTACTTTAAGCGATTAATCAGGGTAAATTTAACCCTAGCATAGAGCAAGGTCAAAATTACCCTAACATTTCGTACAAACATAAAATGATCTTTCGACGCACCACTAGTATTAACGAGACTTTCTGACAACAAACGCATACTTCCACATGTTATTATCTCAGTCCCTAGTCTTCTTTTCGTCTCGTCTAATCATATTACAAAACTAGGATAAAAATTTTCTAGCATGTTGTTGGCCAGCTATAAGTGTACATCTTGTCGATAGTCTAATTATGTATCAAATCATTTACTGAACGAGTATATTGGTGGGTTAGAATTTGAATGGGGAGTTCATTATTACGTAAATTTTTTCAAGTTGTTGAGATTGTGTTTGCCATGTCAAAGCCCTTGGTTGGACGTGTACTTTATTCAAAACCAAATCTTTTACTATAACAACTCGGCCGAATATAATATTACATGAACATCAAACGAGAACACGAAAAGAGGGCATAGGAAGTTTGAGATAGTAGTTACCATGAATATGTGTTTATTGTCAAGTATCGCTAGGACTGAGTATTGAGGGATGATTGATGTTTGTGCGAAGTGTCACAAAGAATCTAATCTTGCTCTATGCTAGGGTTAAATCTACCCTGATGAGCTATGTTCGTGAATACGGTAATACGCTCTCTGGGATAAGGTTTACCATCAATAGTAAGATTTACCCTCAAGGTCCGATGGTCAATACGGGTTGATCGCTTTCCGGGGCAAACAGTACCCTATTTTCGAGGGTCCCTTGATGAATACGGCCAACGAACCCAGAGGGTAAAACCTCTTCTTGGGGGTAGGGGTTACCGTTAAGATACATTGATGAATACAGCCACAGATTGCTCACATTGGCAAAGAGGAAACACTTACAAAGATGGAAGATGGAGCTAGCAAGGAGAGGATGAGGTGTATCGGATGTAAGTCATGCCTTTTTACCTACCTTTCAAGAAAGGCATAATGAAATTCTTTTGCCACAGACACCTCTTGAAATTGATAAGTAAAGTAGGTAGATTAGCTGGATATCTAATATAGGAAGACCCCGTACCAGTTTCCGAGGTGCTGGGGATAAAAACTGAAGGTTAGTGGTTAGCTGAAGTGTGTTTCATGCCGGTTTGCAGCAACACTTTTGTATAATAATATTAATACCCTTTTCCGAATATAGCCTCTTGATAGTCTCTTGTCTGCTTTGCAATCAAACGTAGACGATTTGGAAGAATTTGTTCGGTGCTCTAACGCTCTTTCTGACACGTTGATAACCATGTGCATACGCCCATATGCACGCCCTGACTCCCGTTTAGCATTTTCGTGCATACATGCCTATGCACGCTAGTTTTTTGGGTGTAAACGAAAGGATCTAAGGTAACTTCTATGTAGTTATACTACTAGTGATCTGATTGCTCTATAGAACACAGGGCATCGCGACAGCTATTGAGAAGCTTGAATCGCAAATTTGGGTAGTCAGTTCAACCCTTGCTATAATCTGTGCGTAGTCAGCGACCTCCGCGTTTCGTATGAAAGCAAGTTCATTTTCTCTACACCATGCAGAAACGAAGCACGTTGAGGAGATCCTTAATAGCTAGCAGAGCGTTTCCTAAGTTGCTTTCCATATAATCGCACAGCGTCGAAATTGTCCCCGAAGAAGAACAACCAAGATGTGGTTTCTAATTATATTATTTGGATATCTATATCAAGTTACTTCTGCCCTGGGTTGTGTCGAAGTATAGACAAATGTGAAATTTTGACATGAAAGGTTTAGCCGCTGCAAGAGCTTCATTAGCCCCAGAAGCAGGTAGGGGACACTGCACTTCCGGAACTGTTTCCTGATGTGGATAACGATAAAGAACGCATATCGGGGAGCGCATGCATATTAACTTGCTTTGCACCGGAATACACACTACCATTTATTTTATAGGTTACTCATACTGCAAATTCTAGAAAGCTAATAGCACACAACCATATAAGTGCCATTTTTTGTCATCTTGAAAAGAGTAAAATGAAGAGATTGTTGAGTGAACGATTCACTATTGGAACAATTTTTGGAGGGCAGTTCTATGTTTCAATTTTTACCGTGATGTTATAAAAAATTCTCGTTTGCGCCATGTTTTTTTATTTCTGGCGTCTTTTCTATAAATCTTAGCCGGTCGTAATCATCCTAATAATGATTCTGAACTGTTCGAAGGATAGTAACACCGCTATGCTTCTTCATCATTATGAAATTTGAGTAAGAAACAAGTAGTCTTTGAGTCCATTATCGGGGTGAAGATCTTAGAATAAAGGTTCGTTTTCTCTCACAAGTTGGCGATTCACTACCACTAAATCACATCTATTTACGCAATTTGCTTTGAACTTTAATACATCCCGTTCTAATACTCCAGAACAAAGCAGTTCTCGGAGCTATCAATAAAATGTATCTTATTTCAGTGAAGAACCCGATGCGTGGGATTGGGAGAAAAAACTAGAATCATGAGAAGGGGCAGTTACAGCACTATGACCGAAATTAGCACTTTGACGACCGAGCCATTTTGAGCGAAACTACCACTAGCGATTTTCGCGCATTTGGCCCGTGCATATGCGCGTATGCACGAAATACTTATGTGGGAGTCTTTCTGAAGCTTATTCATGAAGTATGCGAATTTTGTTCAGAGATACATGCATATCACAGAGACTTGCCAGTGGTTACACGATCAAGATTTTTGCATCGCTTTTCCCTCCAATAAACCATGCAATGGCAATATCTGGGGAGTCCCTCTTCGAGAAAGGCGTTAAAATACTAGGCGTTGTTGCCTGATTCATCCTTGTTTTTGCCTTCAGAATAACTATACAGAGTTTTCGCCTTCTCAGAAATATATAAATTGTAATGGAGTCGACGGTCTAGCGGTATGGAAAAAAGGTTTGAACCTTTGACTGGCAAGACACGCGCGGAAGAAGAACGCTTTATGTACAGAAAAACCGCAGAAACAACAACAAGGGCCCGAGGGCCAACAAGAAAATAACAACAACTAGTGCAAAACTTGGAGCTGGGGGGATGCAAGATTTGACCCTCTCGTAGGGCTCGATTACTTGGCTGGATCGTTACTTGGGGGGAGGTCTGGTTCTCTTCTGGCCAGCTCGTTTCTACTCCCCGCGAGCGTCTTCTGCTCGCGGCTCCCCCTTATCCGCTTCTTTTATACCCTTCCGAGAGGTCAAATCGGCCTCTCCTTTTCCCGCCATCAAATATTGTAGATCGCTGATCCTTTCCATCCAACATCCCTCTCCTCCGGGGAACCGACGTCCTCGGCGGCTGCTGCAAATTGTTGAGCTTTGCGCCGGGAGCTGTCCTGTGGATGTTGTAGAGCTGTCGCGATCCATCCATCCCTGAAAAAACTATTTTAGAAAGCTGAGAACTACCACCAATTTTTCCTGCTTCTTTAGTCGCTTTCCCCTTTCCTATTCTCGAGGGGGCTGAAGTAAATAACTGATTTGGGCTTGCATAATCCTTCAATATTCTGTCAATCACCGACCACACTTTTGACTTCGTTTTCCATACGTACTTGCGTGAAGATACCGGTGGCCAAGCGGATACAATCTGCCCTCCTGCTCTGAGGTGCTCTTTGCATAAGCGCAATGTTTCTATGATAGCCTCATCCTCCCTGCTTGGGTTCATGGGCCATACTATGATCCATACACGACAGTGTTTCAGATTTCTTAATGCGTCTTTAAGCTGACTGAATGATACCGCCTCCTTGGTCAGTATTCCACTTTGCCTATCTTCCTTGAGTGCCGCTGCACACTCGGGTACTATGAATGCAATGGGTCCCTTCCTTCGAGACCCTTGCCCTTTCTCCATAGGTGTTATCTCGTCTTTCACTGCTCTCTGTGCTTTATCATACACTTTCCTGAAATCACTTTTAGGTGAGCTCTGCATCTTGATGCCCCTTTCTTCACATTTGATTCTCACTAATTTCGTTTTGCCCGGAGGTATCACGACTCGCTCCACTACTCTTGCTGTCGTTTCCGGTTTTGGCTGCTGGAGGGTCCATGAAATGCCTAAGCTCTTCAATGCATTTGTTCCTAGGAGCACTTCGTCTCCCTCCTTTGTCACATGAAATGCCACTATGCTTCTAGATCCTCCTTCAATTTCTACCTCAACTTTCACCCCTCCAAGGAACTTCATGATGTTGTTTGAAGCGTCGTAAATACTTCCCTCTTCCACTTCTAGGAACTTCAAGGAGTCCACATCATATCCTCTGTCTCTCGCATCTACTAGTACCTTGATGGGCATGATGCTAATCATCGACCCAGTATCTATTAGCACTGTCACTCTTCGGTTCAGGATCCTCGCTGGTAATACTGTTTTTTCCCCGATTAAGCCGTCTGTCTTATCGCACGCACTTTTTACCACCATATTATGTGCTCTGTTCATCATCGTTGCCATCGGACTTGTTGTGCCAATAAGGTCGTTGTTTGTCTTCTTGCTTCCCCAGTCTCTTATTCGATGTCCAAAGCGACCACACCCGTAACATCGCCTTCCTTCGTTCTGGCGGTCTCGTAGGGTGTCCGTATTCCTTGTTGAATGTGGTATCCTTTCTTCACTGCGCCTTTCTCTTTCTCCGCTGACATCTCGACTATGCCTGTTCCGCGTTGCTCTTTCGTCCTTTCTCGGCGATGGTTGCCGCTTGTCCCTTCTTTCCCACTTGCACAGTCTTTTCGACTGCTCTATTTCGATCGCCACTTCCTTGATTGTATTGTATGCGTCCCTTGGGTTTACCTTGTGCAATGTCCCGACTAGCTGCACATATTCCGGCCAGGTGCTCAAGTTGTGCAGGAGTATTTGTGCATACTCCATAGATCTATCCTCAATGCTACACTGAGGATTTGCTTTCCTAGCCAAGCCTTCCAAGGCTACGCAAAAATCGGCCACCCCTTGGTTAGGTCTCATCCGCAAGTTTCTCAGAACTGTAAGTGCTCCGAGCCTTGCTGCAGTTGAGTCGTACGCTAGTAGTGTGGTCATTTCTTCGACCACCCTATCAAATCCTTGGTGCCTCACTGCCGAGGGGATACTCAGGAACACCGCCTTGGCTCGCCCTCCTAGATGCTCATCTCCCAGGATTTCTACCAAGGTGTGCTCATCCCGAATGATCGTACCGAATTTTCTCTTGAATTTTCTGATAAAACTCCCAAAGTCTTCATTTTCGTGCCCCTTGAATACCCCTGGGTCCGCAAGACTCATACTTTGAAAGTAGTTCAATAATTGTTCCTGCGTACCTTGACATGGCAGGGATTCGCTGCCTCTCATGTCCTGCGATTGCCTCCAGAGCGGCTCTGACGTCCGACCAGTCACGGACCTTGCTTCTTTCCACCGCGTCTTCAAATTCGATATCTGAAATACTTCATCACTTGCACATCTTTCAGCAAAGGCTAAACTGCCCTCACCCTGAATCTGCTCTTTTTCAACTCGGCCGTGCTCCAGCGCTGGCCTTTCAGGTAACTCTTGCGGGCTGTCCTGTAATGGATTTGTTTTAAGAGGTTCATTTGCTCTATCAAATGTTCCCCCTCCTTCCCTGGATCTTAGAAACATTTTGATACTGAGAGCCAAATTCTCAATTTGATTCATGGTTTCCCCTATTCTCCTAGATAGCTCTTCTTCCAGCGGCGCCCTGTACTTGGCTGCCGCTCTACTTTCACTTAGGTGCCTGCTCACCACTTGTGGTAGCAGCTCTACACCCGTCTTGATGAGCTCTATTTGCTACATTAAATCAACTTTTTCAAAATGTCCTACCTGATTCGATTTCATTTGATCCTTTTCTTTTTCTTCCATCTTGACAACTTTGTGCTTATCTGAAAGCAATGTGTTTCTTTCTTCAAAAGTTTCCATCAAAAACGACGTGTATACGCGAAAAAACGACTTGTTTACTCGAAAAATAGGCAGGATAATCGATGAGGATATCGAAATCAATCAATAGCGGCGCCTCTGTAAGCGCTTGAGGTGATAAGGTTCAAATCGATTCCTCCTCTCTTGTGCTCTTTTCCTTTTGTTTTCTGATGGCTCCGGTGGCCTCTTGATGTCTCCGCAGCTAACACTAGCGATCAATCCGCTCGTGATCCACCAGTCAATGCGTCGGCTCGGCCCCCATGTAATGGAGTCGACGGTCTAGCGGTATGGAAAAAAGGTTTGAACCTTTGACTGGCAAGACACGCGCGGAAGAAGAACGCTTTATGTACAGAAAAACCGCAGAAACAACAACAAGGGCCCGAGGGCCAACAAGAAAATAACAACAACTAGTGCAAAACTTGGAGCTGGGGGGATGCAAGATTTGACCCTCTCGTAGGGCTCGATTACTTGGCTGGATCGTTACTTGGGGGGAGGTCTGGTTCTCTTCTGGCCAGCTCGTTTCTACTCCCCGCGAGCGTCTTCTGCTCGCGGCTCCCCCTTATCCGCTTCTTTTATACCCTTCCGAGAGGTCAAATCGGCCTCTCCTTTTCCCGCCATCAAATATTGTAGATCGCTGATCCTTTCCATCCAACATCCCTCTCCTCCGGGGAACCGACGTCCTCGGCGGCTGCTGCAAATTGTTGAGCTTTGCGCCGGGAGCTGTCCTGTGGATGTTGTAGAGCTGTCGCGATCCATCCATCCCTGAAAAAACTATTTTAGAAAGCTGAGAACTACCACCAATTTTTCCTGCTTCTTTAGTCGCTTTCCCCTTTCCTATTCTCGAGGGGGCTGAAGTAAATAACTGATTTGGGCTTGCATAATCCTTCAATATTCTGTCAATCACCGACCACACTTTTGACTTCGTTTTCCATACGTACTTGCGTGAAGATACCGGTGGCCAAGCGGATACAATCTGCCCTCCTGCTCTGAGGTGCTCTTTGCATAAGCGCAATGTTTCTATGATAGCCTCATCCTCCCTGCTTGGGTTCATGGGCCATACTATGATCCATACACGACAGTGTTTCAGATTTCTTAATGCGTCTTTAAGCTGACTGAATGATACCGCCTCCTTGGTCAGTATTCCACTTTGCCTATCTTCCTTGAGTGCCGCTGCACACTCGGGTACTATGAATGCAATGGGTCCCTTCCTTCGAGACCCTTGCCCTTTCTCCATAGGTGTTATCTCGTCTTTCACTGCTCTCTGTGCTTTATCATACACTTTCCTGAAATCACTTTTAGGTGAGCTCTGCATCTTGATGCCCCTTTCTTCACATTTGATTCTCACTAATTTCGTTTTGCCCGGAGGTATCACGACTCGCTCCACTACTCTTGCTGTCGTTTCCGGTTTTGGCTGCTGGAGGGTCCATGAAATGCCTAAGCTCTTCAATGCATTTGTTCCTAGGAGCACTTCGTCTCCCTCCTTTGTCACATGAAATGCCACTATGCTTCTAGATCCTCCTTCAATTTCTACCTCAACTTTCACCCCTCCAAGGAACTTCATGATGTTGTTTGAAGCGTCGTAAATACTTCCCTCTTCCACTTCTAGGAACTTCAAGGAGTCCACATCATATCCTCTGTCTCTCGCATCTACTAGTACCTTGATGGGCATGATGCTAATCATCGACCCAGTATCTATTAGCACTGTCACTCTTCGGTTCAGGATCCTCGCTGGTAATACTGTTTTTTCCCCGATTAAGCCGTCTGTCTTATCGCACGCACTTTTTACCACCATATTATGTGCTCTGTTCATCATCGTTGCCATCGGACTTGTTGTGCCAATAAGGTCGTTGTTTGTCTTCTTGCTTCCCCAGTCTCTTATTCGATGTCCAAAGCGACCACACCCGTAACATCGCCTTCCTTCGTTCTGGCGGTCTCGTAGGGTGTCCGTATTCCTTGTTGAATGTGGTATCCTTTCTTCACTGCGCCTTTCTCTTTCTCCGCTGACATCTCGACTATGCCTGTTCCGCGTTGCTCTTTCGTCCTTTCTCGGCGATGGTTGCCGCTTGTCCCTTCTTTCCCACTTGCACAGTCTTTTCGACTGCTCTATTTCGATCGCCACTTCCTTGATTGTATTGTATGCGTCCCTTGGGTTTACCTTGTGCAATGTCCCGACTAGCTGCACATATTCCGGCCAGGTGCTCAAGTTGTGCAGGAGTATTTGTGCATACTCCATAGATCTATCCTCAATGCTACACTGAGGATTTGCTTTCCTAGCCAAGCCTTCCAAGGCTACGCAAAAATCGGCCACCCCTTGGTTAGGTCTCATCCGCAAGTTTCTCAGAACTGTAAGTGCTCCGAGCCTTGCTGCAGTTGAGTCGTACGCTAGTAGTGTGGTCATTTCTTCGACCACCCTATCAAATCCTTGGTGCCTCACTGCCGAGGGGATACTCAGGAACACCGCCTTGGCTCGCCCTCCTAGATGCTCATCTCCCAGGATTTCTACCAAGGTGTGCTCATCCCGAATGATCGTACCGAATTTTCTCTTGAATTTTCTGATAAAACTCCCAAAGTCTTCATTTTCGTGCCCCTTGAATACCCCTGGGTCCGCAAGACTCATACTTTGAAAGTAGTTCAATAATTGTTCCTGCGTACCTTGACATGGCAGGGATTCGCTGCCTCTCATGTCCTGCGATTGCCTCCAGAGCGGCTCTGACGTCCGACCAGTCACGGACCTTGCTTCTTTCCACCGCGTCTTCAAATTCGATATCTGAAATACTTCATCACTTGCACATCTTTCAGCAAAGGCTAAACTGCCCTCACCCTGAATCTGCTCTTTTTCAACTCGGCCGTGCTCCAGCGCTGGCCTTTCAGGTAACTCTTGCGGGCTGTCCTGTAATGGATTTGTTTTAAGAGGTTCATTTGCTCTATCAAATGTTCCCCCTCCTTCCCTGGATCTTAGAAACATTTTGATACTGAGAGCCAAATTCTCAATTTGATTCATGGTTTCCCCTATTCTCCTAGATAGCTCTTCTTCCAGCGGCGCCCTGTACTTGGCTGCCGCTCTACTTTCACTTAGGTGCCTGCTCACCACTTGTGGTAGCAGCTCTACACCCGTCTTGATGAGCTCTATTTGCTACATTAAATCAACTTTTTCAAAATGTCCTACCTGATTCGATTTCATTTGATCCTTTTCTTTTTCTTCCATCTTGACAACTTTGTGCTTATCTGAAAGCAATGTGTTTCTTTCTTCAAAAGTTTCCATCAAAAACGACGTGTATACGCGAAAAAACGACTTGTTTACTCGAAAAATAGGCAGGATAATCGATGAGGATATCGAAATCAATCAATAGCGGCGCCTCTGTAAGCGCTTGAGGTGATAAGGTTCAAATCGATTCCTCCTCTCTTGTGCTCTTTTCCTTTTGTTTTCTGATGGCTCCGGTGGCCTCTTGATGTCTCCGCAGCTAACACTAGCGATCAATCCGCTCGTGATCCACCAGTCAATGCGTCGGCTCGGCCCCCATGTAATGGAGTCGACGGTCTAGCGGTATGGAAAAAAGGTTTGAACCTTTGACTGGCAAGACACGCGCGGAAGAAGAACGCTTTATGTACAGAAAAACCGCAGAAACAACAACAAGGGCCCGAGGGCCAACAAGAAAATAACAACAACTAGTGCAAAACTTGGAGCTGGGGGGATGCAAGATTTGACCCTCTCGTAGGGCTCGATTACTTGGCTGGATCGTTACTTGGGGGGAGGTCTGGTTCTCTTCTGGCCAGCTCGTTTCTACTCCCCGCGAGCGTCTTCTGCTCGCGGCTCCCCCTTATCCGCTTCTTTTATACCCTTCCGAGAGGTCAAATCGGCCTCTCCTTTTCCCGCCATCAAATATTGTAGATCGCTGATCCTTTCCATCCAACAAAATAGCATGATTCACCAGATCAAAAGGAACACCTTGAAAGGAAAGAGAAAATTAAAACAAGAGGAACAAGGAGAAAATAAAAGAAAAAACAACAACAAACAAACAAACAAAATGGAGGTAGAATGCTAACCAACTGAATCTGAAACAGTATTTACTAGACAGCTCAAAACATAAGGATGTTCAATAGGTTGGAGTCGAAACGTTTATCATTTCAAAATGTAGGTTTCCTTAAAATGAGCTCTATTTGCAAAGTCGAGTACGAGATAATAAAATTTTGGCACAAAGGTAAACACTTTCCATACTGGTGACAATGCTTGCAGTAACCTTCCTTGGCTAGAAAATCCCATCGTCACCCCACGAGATGACAGCTGGCAGCGGGCATCAATCCCTGCAAACGACAAGGCACTGTTTTGTTAGGTGAACTTCTACAAAGTTAACGAGGACTTTGCTTTTGTAATTTCCTTGCGTCACTTTGTGCTGTGTCTTTTCCATTAGGTTCAACTATAGGTGTAACAATTTTTATGATAGGAGAGATTTTCACAATTTCGTAGTATGATGCATGCTCACTTGCTGAGATGATCTTTCAAGCAAACCATATATGACACAATGAGTTTATCTAGACTAAGCATAAAATTACAGAAAGTGCTACATCTCCAGAGAACACCCTCCAGTTATGCTGAAACGCTGCTTATGGATCCTTCTCATCGTGCTTTTATAGAAGACTCCTCGCCAAGATGCTTACTCTGATTATTTTCTTTTTCTCTTAATATTATAACAAAAATTGCGATAAAAACAAAGTATTCATTGAAAGACATTTACTTCAAAATCTCCGAATTTGAACATTAGGTTGAGATAGAATTACGCGAGATGTTCGTTATCACAGTACTGTATTACTTCGCTCACAAATTGCTTTAACATGACACTATTGCCATCGTCTCCTTCCCACAGTCAGCTGTTATGGAATTTAGAAATCACGTATCGAGATGTCAACGAAGGTGCTTTGTAAAACATGCTCTTCTTTTAGCAGTCGATCGTTAAAAAGTTAGTGAAAATTCTGATGGACAAGTTCTATTTAGTTTTATTTTTCCTTTGGTCCACCATACGTTACGGCGGATCTTTCGTGCTACCGAAGAAAGCAAAAAAATAAAACGGATAGCTTGCCATAACCTTCGAAAACTCTAAACAAAGGTGATTTCCTTAGCCAAACATTCAAAGAAAGGAGGAAAAGGAGAAAACTATTGAAACTGCTACCAATTTAGCTTAGAGTTTTCTGCACAGCAAATTAGCTTTGTATCTGTAAGAATTTTATCTACATAACAGCGAGCGGTAGCGGTCCCAGATTACCAGTCGGGGGAGGGGGGGGGGGGGAGGGACGAAAAAGTTCTCGAATGGGTGCATGGCGTTAGCGACGCACTCCGAAAATTTTTGGGATGCTTCTCAAAATTTTTGCGGGCTTATAATCCCGAAATTTCTAGAAAAAAAGAGGCTTTGAGGAGGGTATGGTGTTTTACAAGGCTAAATTGATTTTTAAACATTCAATAATTGTTCTCATTAATTGCAAGTACAAACAAGTCATTTGGACATTTTCAACTCGCTTTATTGAGTTTCAATAATTCCGCGACCCTCATTATACTTACTTATGAATTGAAGATATATTCAAGGCCAGTTACTTGAGAGAAGAAGTTTGCATACCAGCTTGAGACAGAAGCAACTGCTGAAATCTTTTTCTTGTGACGTGCACTCTTGTAGCGAAAGTATTATTCGCAAATTCAAAACAAAAGCTGCTTAGTGCTGCACCATCAGAATTCTTTCGCCACGGTTGTGTATTTATCAACATAAGTCTTTTCGTTTAGGTTAAAAGAAAGAATGATTTGGGAACTACGACGAAATGAGCTACAAAATTGTTTCAGAAGTTCCCCGTTAAACGAGGTCTTATCTCCTTGCTTAATTCGCCCCGGACTTCGCATAATCCGCTACATTGAGCACAAGAGCCCTTTAGGAGTCCATTTTATGTCTTTTCAATCTGTAGGTATCTTGGGAAACTTATTATTAATTCTATCTGGCACGAACGACCTAGGAATTGGTTGAGGTTTGGCACAGTAAACTCTGTATTCTGCCGTTCTCCAAGGCTTTGCTGCTTCAGCAAACACAAGCAAGATAGAAAACAAGTCAAAAAGAGTGATTATTTTACAACAAGTCAAGCTTTTGGAGTAAGCCAGCCGTTTTTAGATATGGCAAGTAAACATAGGACAATAGGCGATTCGTCGCACGCAAGGACGGGGTATCACCGCGGACGCTGGCGACGTCCCGCTGCTCGAGCACTTTTTCATTTCTTTCACCGTCTGCTGTCTCTCCCATGCACGAACTATCTTAAACGTACGCAACGACGTCTAGTCTGTGCGTGCGGCGGTCGGGCAGGAGGCAGCAAAGGCCTGCCGCTTCTGCTTATGGAAGTACCTGAGGAGTTTTAGGGTTCCTCGCGCTTCTAATTACTTCTTTGCACCTCTAATAATAAGTATATACTTGATATGGCCAATTGTTCCTAAACTTTTTGAGTGTGATAGATTGCGAGATAATAAGTTTTATGTTTAATGTTCAAAACGAATGAAATAGGTAAGATATAATATATATCTGATCTGGTATAATATCTGATCTCAAAATGTGCAGCAATCTTTTGGGCGATGAATCGCCCAAAAGATTGCTGCACATTTTGAGATCAGATATTATTGGCACTAAAGCATTTTGTATGACAAGAAAGTGACAGCATATGATATGTTTCCGGCCCTAATGACTGATGTCGCCTTCTCCACAACAAAAGGGATATCCGCACCCACTTCACGCCTTTGGGTAATTCGGCTAATCCTTGCAGGCATTCCACTCGAATGACACAGCGACCCCGGGCGCTGCGACGCAGTGATGCAGAAATATACGACTACTACTTCCATATCTCCATCTTTCAAAGAATAAAATAAAATACCACATCTGGACAAGTTGTTGTACTTATTTATTTAATTTGGTGTTCAAATGATTCGTGTTTGGGTGCAAATAGAAATCTTTGTAAAAATTATGTTGATGTTACACAGTGCCTTACTTCCTCTCATCACATAAACTCTTTCTTTTGCCGTAAAGAAAGCATAATCTAAGATCATAGCCAGCCGTCCATTTTACTGTATTAGGTTGTTGCAAAAATAATACTTGTTTTGCAAAGGGCCATAACTTTGTCCAGTTTTCATATTTTTGAATGCAATCAAGACCATCAGAGGCAGTATACCTTTCGTGACCTAACGCGCACCTGCATATACCCATATCACAAACGGGTAGAAAAACATGCTTCAGAAAACCGAAAGTTTTTCCTTGAAAACCTCGTCTTTGAGAGATTACAACTCCCTTCAAGTTTTGTTCCTATAGCTGCTAATCAGCTTATTGGAGACCAAGCCAGTAGCTTACGTTTGTATAGAAAAAAGTTACAACTTACATAGCTGCTACTTTCAGCTGTCACTAGTCCATGTATCATAACCAAACTTTTAGCAAGCTTTTAGCATTATAAGCAGACGTTTAGCCTTCATGTGTCCTCAAATTTCTGCATCATTTCTCTAACAAAAAATGTTATTTGTGTAGTAATCATGGTATGTTTTTCAGTAATATCTGAAAGTTAATTCTACAAAGTTAATTTTTTTTTGAAACTCCCGCTGACTTATCGGTCAAATCAGATCAATTTTTTTGCAAAACTATGTGAACTGCTCATAAAGGCCTTACCCTGTTTTTAGCTTTCATCACCGAATTTCTGTGGTTCTAAAATTGATTTTAAGAAAAGCAATAGAAGAAGCTTGTAAACTTGCGCTTTCATTCGCGCATTTTTTTTTTGATTTTCTCCAACTATCTCTTTCAAGGGGGCTCGCAAGCCCCGGCGCTTCAGCGATCTAGGTGGGCTCTTCTAGCAGCTAGGAATTGTTTGTATCGTTAGGTACCCGCTGTTAAAGCAGCAAGGGGCGTGGCTTAGTGTATACCACTAATGGCTGGGAACCTAACGCCCACCTCGGTTGCGTACCTAACGCCCGCCCCCCCCCCCCCTGAAAAAGGCATCATTGCTGAAAAGTTACACCTAATAAATATCCTAACAAACCTGCGTGGCTCACAACAAAGTTCATGAATACAAGACAATGCCCAGGTTTCATGACCAGAGAACATATGAAATATGAAATTTTTTTTTCTAGCCTTCCCGGTAGTTTTGACTAGGCAGTCACAAAAAACATGCCAGTCTTTTTTTTTTTTGAAGTGAAAATGTACACCTTACACTGTCAGCAGTCATAGCTCAAAAAATCAAGTTTTCGTTCAATTCTCGATCGAGTGCTTGGAAAGTAAAGAAGATACAAATACAAAAAGGGTATGCTATGTATTGCTCCAACAGAGTATTGATGAAGGCGTTCAGCAATGAAAGTACTTGTAGTTGAATAAACAGTGTTCGTCCAGATGTGAACTCAGCTACAGAAATTCAGAAACTAACATTCTCTTTTCGCAATTATAGCCTTTTGATCGTATCCATTTATTTATCGACCCACCCCATAATTTTTATGGGAACAGCCCGAATTGTAGCTTCCATTTCCTACATATTCTTGCGATGGATTCAGAGGACAATACCAGGGCAAACAACTGTCCCGTTCGTCAAATTGAGGGGAAGCCCCTGTCCGCGAGGTCGCCCTGAGCGCGCAGTGTCACTCTCTGCTCCCGTTTACGCTAACCAGCTGCTTTTTGCTGACCACGTCCGGGATTGATTCGGCAGCAGTTGTGCCTAGCACACTTCCCCCAACACTTCTTTTCTCGTCCACTTCCTCAACACAGCACTTTCGGTTTCCTCTGAGTCGCTAAAATTTCCACTCCTTTATTGTAATTTCTATGGTAATTTTCTTCCAAGTGTGTAGCGTTACGCGTGAAGGATTAAGCATAATGTCTACGTAGATTCTCGGAGCTTGAGCAACCAAAGGTTTTCAAAATTTCTTGGCGAATATTCAGAGCTGGTCTTTTGTCAATTCAGATATAGTATCTAGCAGTGGCGCTGAGGGGAGGAGGCAAATGGGTCGCGAAATTTTGAAAGTTACCCTATATGGGTTATAAAAATGTGCAAATGACTTGTTTATGCTGTAAATAATCAAAATAATTTTCAAAATTTTTCAAAAATTCAAAATAGTCTTGTAAAAACCTCTTCCTTATTATGGGACCATGGGCTCACAAAAATTTTGGCAAACATCCCAAAAATTTTCGCACCACCATCACTCAGAAAAAATTTTTGGTGCGCCCCCTCCCTCGGTCCGAAATTCTGGGACCGCCACTGGTATCTAGGTATTAAATGAGTTTTACCCGTTAGATCATGGACTTCACTTTCAAAGACTTTTTTTCTGATAGCATCAGCTAAAATTCATTTTTTGATAGGGGAACTATGATTACAACATCATCTTCGTGGATCTTCGCGACACATTCGTGTAAGGGTGTCAATAGGCACTTAGGTATTAGAAGAGTCATTAATCCTCATCGATCATATAATTGGCGCTGTTTTATTTGACAAAATTCATCTTTTTCACCAGTTAAAATAAGACGTTCAGTAAGAATTTCTTTGCTAAACTATTGGATACATAGCAGTGTATTATTCCTCTGCGAAGGGACGACAAAATTCACTTGAGCAAAGTCCCAAATATCTTACATAAACTCAAAATTCGCTTGAGCAAAGCCCCAAAATCTTACATAAACTTTACTGCAATGTGTTCTATACATAAGTTATTCAAACTTTTTCTATATTGTGAAGAGCATATCGTGGTTTCTTAGCGTTGTACATATTCATTGGTATCTACAGTATTCATAGTAAGCGAAAATGGACAAGGTGGCTTGGTTGTAACGATGTAAAAAGCATTTCCCAGGGATTCCACGTAGCATGACGTTCAATTAGAGAAGACCTAGTGCGAACTATTATAATCACCTACTCTTTCCAAGTATTCTGTAACATAGCAATTAAGTAGTACCTAAAAATAATTCCCTTTGATGGTCGAAAAAGGGGGGGCAGCCAACATGAACGATAGATTGTGCCAGCCATATGCGTTGCGTAGGTCAAATATTCCCCAGATTCTATATTTACACTCTAATGATATTCAAAATTTTGGAAAAAACGCTGAGAGCTCGGTACCGCCTTATTCTTACTGTTGGACACCATTTTCAACCCAGTGAAGAACATATCGCTTCAAAATATAAGACTTTAGGCGCGGCATATTGACAACCGCACGAGTACAGTATGCTTATTTCCAGCTATCGTTCATCTTGGCATACAGCGATCGATATCCAAAAGGCTAAGCAGATGTAATAGTTTGTCTGGCCGATAGATTGCGCAGTCTGGCCACGCAGACTGCTTCTCGGTCTAGAATTCTCTAGAACACAGGGCCGAGAGCGGATCCCGATTGAACGGATATTTAAGATGCGTCAGTCTCGTTTAGGCCCTTATCGTTTTGTTCAGATCGGATTTAAGCTTTTCCAATCATTTCGTGCTAATTTTCTAAAGATTTGCGCTTTTAATGGACGAAGTCTCCTTTATGTCCTCGTTTTTTAACAACTGCACTGTGCTAGTCGCAAAATTTATGACAATGTTTTCAGATGCTGCTATTATTAGCAGTACTTCTCTTAAAAGCAATAGCTATATATGGCAAGGATCCCGAGCTGGTTGTAGTTACTGTAGCGACAGAAGAAACAGACGGTTTGCGCCGTCTTCTCAAGTCAGCGCAACACTTTGACATCAAAGTGAAAGTGCTAGGCATGGGAGAGGAATGGAAAGGCGGAGACACTAGGACAGGCGAGGTAAAAACGAATGTTTCTCACCTTTGTTTGTACTCTGCAAAATCGGTCAATTTAGGGTGGAGGTCAAAAGATCCGACTACTGAAAGATGGTTTGAAGGAGTATAAGAACCGTGACGACGTGATCATTTTGTTTGTTGATGCGTAAGCTTTCTCTGGACCTTTGGGCGATAATAGCTTGAAAGCTCTTCAAAAGAACTTGACAGTAACCATTTCTGGAGAGGCAGAATTCACTCATAACAGTGATTGTCGAAAGCGAGTTGGAGTAGTAAACATCGGTAATTTTTTTGGAGCACTCGTCCGCGTCCTCAAAACAGGGTCCCCAGGAATCGGGTTTTTTGGGGGTTTTGGACAATTTGGACTTTACAACTGTATTGAGGGCCACGGAAAGATCCCAGAATGGCAGAAACATGAGAGGCGAAATTTTTTTAATTAGGTTGGTGCGTACACCATAGGTGACAGTCATACAAAATTCCTTTACTATTGTCAAAGACTTCAGTTACCAAACTAATTGTCTTTCCTTACAAAAGTGATAGCTTAAGATTAGCCAGAGAACAAAGACTCGATATGTTTCATGTATTTTAGAAAATGTTTCTAGGAAACCATGAATTTTTTCAATGTTACAGCAGTTATGCATCCGCCCAAAAGGTGACAGTCAATCGTAGCAGATCATAAAGACAAATTAGGTTATAACACCTTTTCGCTTCTGGAAAAAATCTGATCTACTAAGCTCTTCTTCGAGTGTGCACACCAAGGAAGTTCAATAAACATAATAATATAAACATATGAGCATCTGGTATTAGGTTGGAAAGAAAAAATATCGCTTTTTCTCGGATTTTTTCAGCTAAGATTGATATTTCTCAAAAACTAGGGTATAACCGAGGCCAAAATTTTATGGTTGAAGATTGGTGGGTTTGCAGTATATAACGGCATATATGGGAGTAGCTCAAAACTACTGGGGCGGTTTTTGTCACTTTCCCTTCAATTTTTTCTTAATTTGCAAGCATGAAAAGAATATAGCAAATGTGCCATTGAATAAGTGCAGTGCCTGTTACATGCAGGAGCAAGTGAAATGTTCGTAGGATTTTTTGGGGCATAAATCCTGTTCTCGGCACTTTGCGCGAATCACGACTTTTTTCAAGGTTTGAACGTCATTTTGTAAAGCTTCTTTTGCTCTATCGAATGCTACTCCTCAAATATTTTTGGGTTTATCTTAGTGCTTTATTGGAGGACCTAACCTAATAAAGTTACGTCCCATATGATTTTGAGAACATTTGAAAGTACATGGGGTAGATACATGTTCGCAGAAAAAGTTTAGTCAATCTCTTATGTATAAAAACTTACGCTCGGCAAAGATTTCTTCTAAAACATAATTAATCCTTAAATACTTGGGGAAATCGGATGTCTATTAGCTGAATTCGGATGATTCCAAATGAGTCATTCGTCTCTCTTTTCAGATATGATGTTATCTTCACGGCTAGCCCTGGTACGATTATGGAACGTTTCGTAACGCATTTCCCAGATTTACGAATTCTTTTCGGAGCGGAGCCTTATTGCTGGCCTGATGAGGCTTTGGCCGCAGAGTACCCCGTAGTTGGATTTGGAAAGAGGTTTGAACAAGATCTATTGTTTTGGATTTTTGGTTACAAAAATATGGTTTTCAGGTATCTTAATTCTGGTCTCTTCCTCGGTTATGCGAAAGAGGTCTACAAAATGATCAATATTGAGATGGTAGCTGACGATGAGGATGATCAACTTTACTACACTATGATTTATCTGAATAGCAAATTGAGGGTGGGTTATTTTAGAGCTACTGTAACTGATTATAAAAAATTCTAAAGTAAGTATCGACTGGTTCAGAAGGATCTCAAAATCGGATTGGACTCAGCCTCGCGTATCTTTCAAAATTTGAATGGAGTCATTGACGATGTAGAATTGCAGTTTGATGAAGACACCGGAGAAGCTTTGGTAAGCGAGCATCTCAGCTACCCTGCGAAATTCGTTTATGATTAATTTAGGCCTACAATGCAGCATACAACACTCATCCAGCAATTCTGCATGGCAATGGGCCTAGCAAAAATCACCTAAACTATTTGGCAAATTATATGCCTGGTCGATGGTCTTCGAAGAAGGGGTGCGCATACTGTGGAAAGAAGCCGAAACTTGATCTTTCGGTAGGAAATTACAAAATTTATACATACATGCATCTCAGCTGTTACATTACAGAACATACAGGGAGAAAATCATAGCTTTACAATTTCAAAATCATATTTCACGCAGCAATGGTGTAGTTTGACTTTTTGCCAGGTTCCTTGTTTTTGACCAACTATCTCATGATTTTACGAATTTTGAGTTGACCGTAGTCAATGAGGAGTTCATTTCATAGTTACATTTTCTTAAGTATTTCTCCTATAATTTGGTTCACCTATCATCACAATTTCAATCATGCGGCTGCCGGTAGCTAATGAACGATGATTTGTTTACAGATTGCTGACGAACCGGAGTTCCCATTTGTCACCGTATCCATCTTCATCGCGAAGCCAATACCATTTATCGAAGAGGTTTGCTTCATTTCTATTGATTCAAAGATTTACCAAAGCGTGAATTTCCTCGTTTTCTTTCCTTTTAGATGCTCGAAGCTTTTGCGCGTCTCGACTATCCAAAGAAAAAGATGGCGTTGTACATTTACAACTCCCAACCGTTCTGCATCAAGACTGTAAGATTTTCTATAACCAACTGATTGTCGTTAGTAATAATAATTCAAATAGGTTATGGATTTCTTGTCCAAGTACGGTACGGAATACTATTCGAAAAAGATTGTCAACGGTGTCACCGAGATAGGCGAACGAGAAGCCAGAGACGAAGCTTTGTAAGTAGTTTCTGAATTCTCCTCCCGAGCACATTTTCTCATTCCAATCTGTTTGCAGGAAATTTGCAGCACGATTCAAAACTGAATTTCTATTCCTCTTAGACGGTGATGTCATGCTGACAAATGAGAAGGCGCTACAGATCTTGGTGGAGGCTTCTATCAACTATGAAGCGTGAGTTCAAAATTCCACATCTGATTCATTAAAGACACCTTCCAAATTAGGGCTCTTGAGCTTTTGGCAGCATACGACAGTAGGGCCCCCGTTGGAGCCAATGCCCAACGGCTCAAAATGTCGCTTCGGAGGCGATAAAATTGCCCCGGAATAACGAAGAGAGTAGAGAACCCCTCGGCGGCAACTCCCCTCCAGTAATGCCGCTTCTACGTGCTTACTCATCCAATCCGTGTCTCGGGGAAGGAGACTGTCGGGGCTTTCGCGGATTCTTGATTTCATATTCCGAACTAGGGACATAAGGCCCTGCAACGGCGATAACATAGAAGTCGAGGATCTGGGTGGTCAAAGTTTGTCGTCTCAACATCGCTTTGTGTAATCACACCTCTTTCGTAATCTACAGTAGAGCAGGGCGATAGTAGTTGAGTCATCTAGGAATTCAGGAAACGGTATAGGACCATGAAAAAAAAATGAAACGAAGATAACCATGAAGTAGAAAAAATTGTACTTTTTACTTTGCAACGTCTAGTGTAAATTCGAAACTATCATGACTAGCTGTTAAATTTCCAATACTATAAGATCACTCGAGCTTTTGAAAGCTATTTAGTCATCTAATCTTAAGTAAGTTTCATAGTGAAATTGTATCTACTAGCCAGCTACGATTGCAAAATGTTTGATGGAGGTTCATGGAGGGAAGGGGGGGAGGGAACGATGCAACAATCGTTATTTTACACAATTTGTTTATTATATGTTTATAAATTTAACTCATCTGTATTCTTCCGCGGGAAATTTTCAAAAAGATTTTTTTTAGTTATCTATCTCATACATGAATCAAAGCACTGCTAATGAGCTAATGTAAGATGTACAGTCCGTTTCAATTATGTACCACCCTTCGCGTACGAACTACGCATGCGCAACGCGAGGGCCTTGCATGCGAACCTCTAATTAGTGAGGCCAATTTGAATGCCCAAGAGGTACGCGTGCGAACGTGACGCGAAGCTCTACCGTGGCGATAGTGCATATGGTCTGATCCAAAAAAGATCCATAGAAGAGCATTCCTTACATTCAAAAGGCCAAATATTTTGCAAGAGGAAACAGACTTGTATGAAAATTTTGTCTGTGTTCTCTTAAGAAAAGGGAGCGCGTAACTGACACAGAATATAGTGTTTCATCTGAGCTATAGCAAGCTTATATTTCATATATTTCTCATAGAAGATAGCGAAAATTTATGGCACTTTTTTGGGAAGCTCCTGCCCCCCCCTCACCTGCCTCGAAAAGGGATTGCGAAATTTTTTGAGGTGGATCGGTTGAATCATTGACTGTGTAATTACTACAACTATTTTCACTTCTGGAGATTTAAAAAAAGTGTTGGAACCCATTACCGTGCAACTTAGCCTTGGGAAAATTCTTTGAACGTCGAAATGCCGTCCCTCTCACCCACCTCAAATATTTGAATCATTGCTTGCCTGGAGTAATGTCTAATCGTAAATTTCAGAGGCATTGTCTCTTCAGTGATTGGCCGACCAGGCAAAATGTTCTCGAACTTCTGGGGTGCAATCGCTCCAAGTGGTTTCTATGCTCGTAGCGAAGACTACATTGCTATTCTGTCACGCAAAAGAGTTGGCCTATGGAATGTACGTTATTTCTAGACAGGACCACTTTTTCACTAACCAACCTTATTCTAGGTACCCTACATTAGCGCAGCCATTCTCATCAGCATGGAGAAATTGGAGAAGATGAAGGCCCCATTCACTTATGACAAAACACTTGATCCAGATATGTCCTTCTGTCAATGGGCTAGAGATAATGTACGCTTTTTGAATATCGGCAAAGGAGTTGAGTAGCGATGTGACTAGTGTTTAGGGTCACTTTATGTACGTTGATAACGAGCATTCATTTGGATTCCTCGTTGTCAGCGACGATTTCGAAGAGATCGTGGACGAGGGTAAGCTGCATCCAGAAATGTGGGAAATCTTCGAAAATCGTGACGTATGTTTTTTCATTTTGAGCATTCATGTCCACTAAAACATTCGAAAATGCCTCTTCATTGACTCGGAAAATAATTTGTTAAATGAATTCGGACTTTGTTCTTCTTACAAGAATATATAGATTTTTTCAATCGTTAAACAATTCGAAATGAATAAATAATGAATAATCGTCTCACCTTGTATTTTACGTTCTTTTCTAGCTTTGGGAAGCCCGTTATCTACACCCGGATTACAAAAAACACCTCGCAGAAGATATTGAAGTCCTACAGGCTTGCCCCGATGTCTACGATTATCCCTTGATGTCCGAAAGATATTGCAAAGAAATGATCGAAGAAATGGAGAATTTCGGAAAGTGGAGCGATGGCTCGAATAAAGTGAGCAAACACTGAGAATTCGCATAAATTTTCAGTCACCATGTTTAGGATTCACGTCTTGCTGGAGGATACGAAAATGTTCCAACTAGGGATATTCACATGAACCAGGTTCGCAGTCTTCGCGTCTTTTATGGAAACTGAAAGAAAATTGTTTGATTTTGAATTTATGGGATATAAAAAACCTTTTTGAAAATTTTCCAACAAAGAAGTATATTTTTACAGATTGACTACGAAAGGCAATGGCTTCACTTTATGAACGAGTACGTAAGACCAATGCAGGAGAAGACGTTCATTGGTTACTACCAAAACGTAGGTACCTTTCTCAGTTTCGCAAATGGTAGATATAAATGATGTGGAAAAAAAACGCGGATTTCAAGCAATTCGGACCTTGATTGCTTTGGTCATCTACCGTATAGCTTTTGAGGAGACTCACGGAAATATAAAATCTTCTTCTTTAGACTGGAGACTAATTATTTTCATACTTTTTGAATGTCTAAATTTCGATCATCAAAAATATCTACCCGTACTACATACCACTATATATCCCTGGCTAATTGATTATTAATCTTCTTGTTCATTTCGAGCGACCTTGACAACAAGGCGTACATGATTTTCGAAGTTTGATTATTTATGTCGGAGACTTTTCAGCCTATCTACTCTCACATGATGTTTGTGGTCAGATATCGTCCAGATGAACAGCACTCGTTGCGACCTCATCACGATGCCAGCACTTACAGGTTTGTGTAATTCAATGCTCAAAGCAATAATTTTCTTCAGATTTCGTGGGGATCCTTCCCCTAAAATCTGTATAAGCCCGCTATTTTTGAAGTTCAGATTCTTGATTCCAAAATCCTATAGTTTCGCAGAATTGCAAAAAAGTTAGCGCTTCTCTAAATTGGTTGGAAGCAGGGCTCGGGAGGTGGCTAGTTGAAAATGCAAAAAACGAAGTCCCCCTTGACTTTTGCGAATTTTTACGCAGTACCCTTTGACCCTAGACCAGGGCTCGGCACGAGGTGGCGTCCCGAAATTGCAAAAAATGAAGTCCCCTTTGACTTCAATAAAATTACGATATCCGCCACGAGATATTCGAAGAGAAAATACATGAAAAGGAACGTAACAAAGCAACAGCAGAAAAAAACGAAAAAGAATCATCGAACACACGCGATGATATTCATATTCTCCGGAATGGCGGCATGATGTATCCATCGTGCAGCAATACGCGCCTAGAGCAGCCTTTCCGCCGCCATTCAAAATTTTCAAGGGGCTATAACTAAGCGGGGAGAAGGAGGTTTGAGGCGGTTTAGGAACCAGTTTGTAGGGTTTGGGATGTAGATGAAAAGTATGTAAAGAAAGTAGAAAAATTATGCGAGCGAGGGAAAATTTATGACTATTTCTTTCCTAAGCCACCTCAGGTGGCTATCCAGGTGGCTTGAAAGCCACCTAACTCCGAAAAAAGTTGAGCACGCCTTTAATTCACATAATTTTTTCATAATTTTTCATACTTAGTTCTAACTCCCCATTGTCCATCTACACACCTATTTTGGTGTCATTTCATCCTCACTTCGCTGTAAACAAACCTTTTGTTTATTTGCTAGCGGCATGCCGGCAGCGTGCCGGCCGCAGGTCGAAAGACAACGTTATGCTCTTTCGCAAAAACGATATCCCCTTTGCTTTTTCCCCAAAAACGATATCCAGCTTGCTTGCTAAGCCACCTGTGCCGTGCCATGGTTGGAAGCTCTCATATCTTCCCGGTGATGTAAATATTGGCGAACTTACTTTCTTGTCATCTCTTTTTTCTTAAGCCCGGCCATAGCATCTCGCCTCACTGCTAAGAAGGCTTTCTCTTCAACATTTTTGGTTGTAAGGTCCGTGCCTCGCCAACTTTTTGTAAATAACTTCACTAAGGTCTTCAGGAGTTTCCTACTGAAACACTCCAAGTCCAGTGTTCTAGCAGTTCATGAAAAACAAATGAATTTGGAGCTGAAATTCATTTTTTGGACCTTTTTTAGGCAGATTGAATAATCCCAGAACATTTTTTCATTAGGTAGCTGTTAAGAGAACATAATGGTTTCCATAAATAGAGACTTGTGCTCTATCGTCGCACTGTTCAAAAAAATTTCTTTATGCGGAATTTTGATGATGTGAAATACTCACTTATTCTAGCATCGATATTGCTCTCAACAAAAAAGGCGTCGACTATGAAGGAGGAGGTGTTCGCTACACTCGATACAATTGCACTGTCCCTGCTGATCAAGTTGGTAAGTAGTTTTTCTCTTTCCCAAATTGGCAAGAATCTATGCAATGCCATAGAATATTCTAGGCTACACAATGATGTTCCCAGGCAGACTAACGCACCAACATGAAGGACTACCTACCACGAAGGGAACACGTTATATTCTTGTTTCATTCATAAATCCCTAACTTGCCAAATATGTCACTTTTGATCTCTAGATAATTAGTTATCTGTCTGCTTGCACTGCCATCTTATTTTATTTTTGACATTGCTGCTGACCTGCCTCTCCATGAGACGATTTGCTTTCTTGACTCTTGAAACAGCGTGAGTTTCTCGAAAGACTTGCCAATACCACGGGAATCTCTGTGCCTTCAAATTATCTAATAAATATTGAACCTATTTTGGACAAGTTGAAAACATGCACCTCAACCACGTTCGCTTCATCAGTGTTCTTCCACAGATTCGAGATTATTTTACAAACAAAGCTACTTTTCATCAGGTTGGCTAAGTTTTAAAAATAATTTTGGTCGCTTTTGCGGCTCATACAAACGCTTTAGAGTGTTTTTTCCCAATATTCGGTATCTATGGAAAGAACACCTTATTTGGGATTTGAATGTAAAATCTATTTGAGTAGAATCCAGTCTACAGTAAAAGAAATCATAAAGGAGTTAGAAACTCCAGTTTTCTCATTCGGCGCAAACATGCCAAAAATTTTTTTTTCGGTCAAAGAGTTTTGAAATGGCAGGCCACAAATTTTATCGTTATTCGCTACGTAGGGAAAACTTGTCCGCATCTAAATATCAAATTATTGTTCTCTGAATCCATTACAGCCAGGAAACGAAATCTAGAAAGTCACAGAATCGAGCTTTCCTGAAGTGTGGCGGAAGAAGCCGTGAGCTGATTCTCTAAAAAAATTGGATAAAAAACAATTAGGAAAGAATGATCTTTATGAAGATGAATTTAAAGATCTTTATGCCAAAACGAAATTATTCTTTAGCCAACCATAAGTCCAAGAATCGTAGGAACTCTTTGGTATACATGCCACATGGGCTTAAACAGCTCCCACACTTATTCACGCAACATAAAAAATTCTTACACTGTCATTCGACACTCCTCGTAAACTCCATCTGTCGATCTTAGGAAACGAAAGAAAAGTTGAGCAAGCTCAAAGAAACATGCATGCACTTTTTATAAGTACCGCTGAAAACTTAGAAGATGCAAGAATCAACATCTGAAAAAAGTCAAGAATTTGGTGGTGCTATATTTGCTTAGCTAATGGCGTTGCTAACAAATATGAGCAAAGTCAGAACATTTTCTGGGCGCTGTTATAGAGAACTAGCTGGCAAACCCGGCTCCGCCCGGCCCTGTCATTATTATATTCGTAATCAGCATGCTCGATTACCCCCCTGTGCCAACTCCCAGTCCCGTAGCTCAAATTTTGCAAAAAATCGATAAAATCGATTTCGATCGATAACGAAAAGTAGCCTATGACACGCTCCCTGCCCCGAAGTATATGTGTGCCAAGATTGGTCCAAATCGGTTCAGAAATAAAAATTTCTATTCCGCACATACGTACAGACAGACATACAGACAGACATTCAGCTTTATATATAAGATATACAAATGCTTGTGACTACTTGAAAGTCATAAAAGGAGATTATCCTTTCCAACACAGTCATTCTAACAGGAGAGCGAAATTAATAAGCATTATCAGTAGATTTTTGACAGCTTTTGCTGTGCAGTAATTTGGAACAGATCCTTGAAAGCGCAGCTCTCAGAAAGATTACTTGAATTCTGGTAAAATCTGAATGGTGAAATACCTCTAAAAACATGTATTCGGTTACGTACGTCTCCATCAAACTGCTGTCACCCTCCCCCCCCCCCCCCCCCCACAATGGTCGGTCGCCTCATCGTGGCGTGGGGGTGACAGTGGGTGTCGAACTGCGATGCACAGCCGAGTGTATACTCTGGTAGGGCCTCCCAAGCTGTGAAGGAGTTCGACGTTTCCGGTTTCGGCCGGATGCCTAGCTAAGAACTGGCCGCGCCAGATTCTCCGCCGTCTGGCTTCTTCTGGTCGCTAGGCGGTCCCTCCCCGCTCCAAGCCCGGGGTCAGCGATCACCCCGTGGAAATCAAGAGTAGGCCTAGTAAGCCACCTCTTGTAGGGGAACAAATTTTATTACTCAGACAGCAAGAAGATTTAGAAAAAACCCTGTACATCGGATCCCGCCTACGGCGCCGGGTGGTAGCAAGAACGATGTCAGGGTACTCAGGGCGCCTTTCGGATTGGACAAAAACGACACGTCTGCCCGGACGACACGCCATGGAGACTGCCTCATGCTCTGCACTTACAACGCCAGGACAGTCTCCACAAACGCCGACCTCCACGCTCTTCTCGACGCTGCAGAGCACATCAACTACCACATCATTGCTCTGCAGGAAACGAAGTCCAGGAAGAAGGACGTGCGACAGATGAGTGATGGGACCCTCATCATTCGTGGTGAAAAGGTTCCATCACGAAACGTGGGAGGCGTCGGCTTTGTCGTCCACCCATCTATCGTCCATCTTGTCGATTCGCACGAGATCCTATCACCTCGACTAGGCATCCTACGACTACGACCTCCACATCAGAAGACCATCAGCATCATCAACTGCTATTCTCCAACATCAGCAGCTGACGAATCAGAACTAGATGCTTTCTAGGAAGATGTGGAGGAGGTCGTCCGCAACGAGAAGTCCTTTTACAAGTTTGTTATGGGCGACTTCAACGCGAAAATCGGGATGCCACTAGAAAAGGAGGATCGGGAAGTTTGGATATGGGCTCCGGAACGAAAACGGCAACCGTCTTGTTGGGCTTCTCTCCGCCGCACGACTTTTCCACGGAAATTCCATCTTTATGAAGAAGGAACATCGCCGGTGGACATGGGAATCGCCCAACGGAACGACCCACGCGGAGATCGACCACATTCTCACCAACCGAAGGTGGAGCTTACTCGATGTCTCTGTAGTTCCATCCTTCTGTAGTGGCTCCGATCACCGCCTCCTTCGAGCGAAGATACGACTCAGCCGAAGGCTGGAAAAGAAAGTCTGTCATAGTGCCGCGAGAAGGAAGGAAGTCGTTTATGACGGTAACAGGCTGGAAGAGCTCATATCAAGTTGTGACTGGCCCATCGAGGAGGACCCAACGTACGACTACGACCGGCTTCTGAAAGGATTGCGAGCCTGCGGAGAATGCGCCTCAGTGACTTCTGAGAAGAACTTGGACCGCATCTCGAAGACCACCAAGGAATTGCTCGAAAGAAGAAGATCATTGAGGCAGGATCCGAATGCAACTCATCTCGAGCGACTGATTGCCAACACCAGTTGCAGAACAGCTTTGCAAGAGGATCTCAGGAAGTACAGGCAAGCCAAGATACTGGAAGCAGCAGAAAGAAGACGAAGTCTCAAGAAGTGCCGAAGGGACCTCTGCGAATATCACGTACCGCTGGCTGCACTACTGAACGAAGACGGGACTCCGACTTCTTCCCGATACAAGATGGAATCTATCGCGAAGAAGTTCTACACCAACCTCTTCCGCTCATCAACACCCGTGCAGATGCCCGTTGTTCCCACAGGAGAAGTACCACCACGAATTCTACCTGCTGAAGTGCGTATCGCGATACAGACCATGAAGACGTCCACGGCTCCAGGACCAGATCATCTTTCCGTCGAACTTCTGCGAGCCGGAGGACACCGTCTACACGAGATTCTAGCGTCGCATTTGACATCTTACCTTCAGAAGGAGAAGATTCCCGACCAGTGGAGAACGTCAAGAACCGTCCTTCTCTTCAAGAAGGGTGAACGGGAGGATCTTCGGAACTATCGTCCAATATGCTTGCTGAGTGTGCTGTACAAGCTTTTCACGAAGATTATCCTCGCTCGCATATCAAGGACACTGGATGAAGCCCAACCCCAAGAACAAGCTGGATTTCGCAAAGGATTCAGCTGCATGGACCACATCCAGACCGTTTCGAGGGTCATAGAAGTCTGCCGGGAGTACCGACTGCCTCTCGTCCTAACCTTTGTCGACTACGAGAAAGCCTTCGACAGCGTCGAAAGCAACGCCATCCTGTCTGCGCTAGTCGATCAAGGAGTGGACCCAGCTTACGTGAGGACGTTAGCCGACTGCTACAAGGACTGTACAACGACGATGCAGCTATTCCATCGCCCCCTGACCATACCAATCGGGAAGGGGGTCCGACAAGGCGACACAATTTCGCCGAAGCTGTTCACCGCGGCCTTGCAGTGGGTGATGAAGTCACTGGACTGGGACGAGAGAGGCATACGAGTTGATGGGAGATTCCTGTCCAACCTTCGTTTTGCGGACGACATCGTTCTCTTCTCGAGCAGTATCACCGAAGCAGAGACGATGCTGAAGGAACTAAACGAAGTAGGGAAGAAGATCGGACTGCGAATAAATCGGAAGAAGACTCAGTTCATGAAGAACGCCCTTTGCGAAGATGCAGAAATGGAGTTGGAAGGCACCCCGATTATGGAGACGTCTTCCTACGTGTATCTCGGACGTTCGATGAACATGGAGAACGACTTGAGGGAAGAACTCAACAGGAGAAGAAGAGCAGCCTGGGCCGCCTTCGGGCCCCTGAAGGAAGCCACCGACCAACTGACGGACCCGGAGCTTCGTGCCCACCTGTTCGACTCAACCGTTCTCCCGGCGCTCTGTTACGCAGCTGAGACTTGGGCCGACACTGTAGCCACGTCGAAAGCTCTACGGACCACCCACAGAGCGCTCGAGCGCAGTCTTCTGAAGATGACCCGACGCAAGCAACATCTAGTCGGACTTCGCAGCACGGATATGAGAAGAATGTCCCGTCTTCGTGACACAGCGGAATACGTCGCGAAAGCCAAACACCGATGGGCCGGTCACATAATGAGAAGAACAGACGACAGATGGACACTAAGAACATCGGAGTGGATTCCTCGCGAAGCCAAACATCCCCGAGGAAGACCTCCAACGAGATGGGCAGACGTGTTCGTGGAACGGATGGACCAGCTGAGAAATCAGCTGGATACGATTTTTGCACCTGGAACTCGTGGACGCAGCCACCGACGTCAGCCAAGAAGATCGTGGATGTCAGAAGCGAGGGACAGGGAAAAATGGAAACTTCTGAGCTGGGGCCCGCACGTCACGTGAAGCCGGGCCATCTAAGTATCTAAGTAAGTAAGTAAGAATCGATTTCGATCGATAACGAAAAGTAGCCTATGACACGCTCACTGCCCCGAAGTATATGTGTGCCAAGATTGGTCCAAATCGGTTCAGAAATAAAAATTTCTATTCCGCACATACGTACAGACAGACATACAGACAGACATTCAGCTTTATATATAAGATACACAAATGCT